GGGAAAAAACTGAACATTTTGGTGTTGAAGGGCTGTTTTCAAAGTATTTTAGTCCCTAATCCATCTTCTAAGATGGGCTGGTTAATTTAATTCATGGCCTCACTACTCCCAAGATTCATGTTGTTTGGAAATGACTTTTACTAAATTTCAATAAATTCTGAGTCCCAATTTTCTTTTATTTTACAAAAATGGATGTGTTCATTGCTCCAGAGAAGACTGATGAATACAGGATCATATTCAAATTCCACGTTCTTAAACTGGTCATCTCATTCCTGATGCTGCTGCGCTGCCTGGCCTCCATACGCTGTGGCCTGGGAACGAGAGAGGGCAGTGGCCACTGAAGGGAGCGCCCAGCGCCAGCACTCTGGGCCACAGCCTGGTCTCTGCCCCCAGTCTCAGCCGGCCTCAGAGATGGCTCCTCCTCACCAACAGCCTGGGAGCCGATAATCTTCCCCAGTACAGCTGAGTGAGGAGTGATGGACAGTGAAACGTTCTGTAAAGAGAAAGTGCTGGACCACCATTTAATGATTAAAACCAACTAATGATCAAATATCCTTTTCCTGATCAGTTTGCTAAATTTCTGGCATTTATCTTTGCTGAGAAAGGAAGTTCTGACTTCACACTCTGAAGAAAAGGGTTAAGGCATAAAGTGAAAGTTGGGTCTCGATGGATGAGCACCTGGTGGGGAGAAAGAGGTTGCAAGGAGATGGAAAACTTGTATAACTTCTAAAGATCAATTTGTTATTCTTGAAATTAAGATTATTGTCATACATTACAAATCGATAGTTTATTAAAATTGTACTCATTTAGAGGTAAAGTACCGTCTTAAAATGTCAAGATAATGGTTAGATGGTCCTCTCATTTGATGGGTAAAGTGACCTGTGTAGCTAGTTACATTCAGCCTGGGAAGTCAGACCTGTCATACATGAGTATCTAAATTGGGAGAAGGTGGCTGAATAGATGATTTCTCCTTCATCCCTGTTGAGGTTGCATTTCCTTGATGGCCCTGGTAACAGGCTTGGGCCATATTTATAAAATGTAAAACTCTTCCTAATTTAATGGGTAAGATTCTGTATAGTAACAAAAAAGGATATATTCCAAATGTTTTAAAATTAGTGTATTTTTAAACAGTTACTATACATTTTGAACATTATAGTCTCATATAGATCTGAAAATGTTTCTATCAAATTAGAGGCTTGGCCTTTTATGATACTACAAAGTATCACAAAAATTCTATATCCCAATTACTGTTTAAAGATTGAGTACCAAAAGAGGCAAGAATTGGAATTTAATATTTAAGACAGCTTGGTAGATGCATTTGAAAAACAAGTTGGCCTTACAGCTCACAGAGTATCCTTGGCTCTGGTCCCCTTTTTGTGGGAAAGTCCCCCTGCAGATGCAGCTTGCAGTGTATTTTTGGCCTGGTTACCATGAAAAGTATGAGATGAGGATGAGATGGTTGGATGGCATCACCGACTCGATGGACATGAGTTTGAGCAAGCTCCGGGAGTTGGTGATGGAGAGGAAAGCCTGGAGTGCTGCAGTCTATGGGGTCGCAGAGAGCCGGACACGACTGAGTGACTGAACTGACCATGAAAAGCACAGAGAGAGGCCCACGATCAGGCTTGTCCATCCCTGTGGAGTCACCAGAGCCAAGCAGGACACCCTGGCCGAAGGTGGCCCTCAGGCCCTGTGATGAGCTGGTCAATATGGAGAATCTCATTTACAGAAAATTCCATCAGTTGCTCCAGTGGTTTTATCACAGTGCTATGCTTGAAAAGAAAATCTTTGAATGCAAAAGGAAAGAGCCATCCAAATGAATAGCAACTGTGGAATGGCTACAGTAACATTATCTGAAGAGTCTGTTACCATCTCACACATGCACATGGACTTTTTGAGTCAGACAGAAATGACCATATTAATTTGTGCGATACTAACTTTGTAAATAATAATTAAGCCAGCAAATGTACTTATTCTTCAGGGAAAGAAGGTAGTACGAAAGGGTAAGAAGATACCAAGCACTATATTAAGGTAAACTGACCTGCAGGCACCAGAAAATTCAACTCTGAAATAAAACTGAACACTTATATCTTAACCGAAAGGGCAGAGCACGCTAAGACCAGCACAACGGCGGACCAAGGACCCTCTCAAGGAGGCAGCCTTTCCCTTCCTGCTCAGTGATACAGTGCCTAACAGCAGCTTTCAGGTCCCAGTGAGAGAAAAATAAAGCTGGGCTGTTGCACGTTATTTCACAACTGGTTATTTTCTTACCATGTACTTACAAAATATGTAGAAGTACAATATGACTTATATATGTAGCATGCTAACGCTGGCTAGTTGTGCTGAAGTATCATAGTAATCACCAGCATAAAATAAAAAAAAGCTTATCACTTAAAATTCTGAACCAGCATTTTCAGGGGCCGTTTCTCCACGTACAAAAATGGAAAGATTTTATTAGAAAACCTTATAATAAATAAGCTAGTGGCTTTAGGATTTTAAAGCAAAAAAATCTTCCCCCCCAAATCAGAAAAAAAAAAAAAATCAGAATACTGCATAACTCCCTTTCAAGAGGAAAAAACTGAATATTCAAACATGATATAAAAATGTGTGACATTCAAAACACAATGGAAGGAAGTAGTAAGTAGTAAACAAGTTATACCAGGACACGGCATGATTTATTTTCAACTAGTAAACATATAAACAAAACTAAGAGAAAATAAAAGATAACGTAGCAAAAGGGTATTTCTTTCCAACATGATTGACCATAATTCTCTACAATGTATGGTCAAGAGAGAGAAAACTGAAGAAACGTCTGTATGGTTGATCAGGATTTACCACTTTCTATTCATGTTTTAGGTTTTAGAGAGTAAATTTGTACAAACAATATTCCCTGGGGATTAAAAATAGGGGAAATAGAACCCAACCAAAAGTAGAAACAAAATTTGGTGTTGGGGGTGCAGGGGGAGGAGAAAACAGTTACATTCACTTTTCCAGACGAGTCTGAATCATAAAGAATGGGCTTTACCTTACTTTTTTTGGTTAGATATTTGAAATCAATAAACTGCTATTCATATATATATATTGCTTGCGTTAAAGACAAGGTAATTAATAGTGAAAGCTGTTCTTACACAAAACAGTAACAGAAAAGCCAGAATAGAACCCCAGAATTCTGTTTGGATGGAAGCTTGTCACCAATGCCAAAAGCCTCACCTATCAAATGTTTCTCTTAATGGATAATTTTCAAGTGATTATGATTCTGAGACTGTGAGACTGAATTAGATTGTGACGTGTGGACCTAAATAGTAAAGAAGGTTTAGGCAAGAGTGGTATTTACAAAGGAGAAGCAGATACATGTGCTTAGCACCAGATTTTTCAAGTAAGCAAGTTCAGCCCCACACTATCTGAAGTAAATTTTACGTTTTTAAATTTCCCCCATTATTTCCCAGAGTAGAAAGCTGTGAAATGTTTCAGCTTGGCGTATTCACCAGTGGGGTTTACGCAAAAGTGTTTTTTCCACGGCTGAACGGTTCTAAGTCTCAGGATTTTAAGGTGTCTCCGAGTTCAAATGTCCTGACCCTACCGGCTTCTATGTGTCTGCTTCAGGACCATTCATTCTCCCCTTCTTTGGCACTGGCTAGAGAATTGCTCCATTATGGCAGTGCGCAGACCCGCACTACACGAACATGCGGAAACCTGTGGTTCTAACAGCGAAAGGGCGCCTTCTTATCAGAAATTACTGAAAGAAGGCGATCTGGGAAATGAGGGGACTACAGGAATTTTTTAGGATTCTATTTAATACCCATGGTACTTAAACATTCAATTTCCTGTCTGATTTCTGGATACTTTGGATTTAGATTTCATAAACCAGATTCAGAAGGCTTATTAAAAAAGCCAAGTTCCTCAATATGGGAAATTCTATCTGGCTGTCCTTTTAGGGAGTTATTATTTTTCTACCTTTGAAAAAATATTTTGAATATTTATATATAATATATATAAACAGTACTCCAGTAGGTCATATTCCAGATAAATATACTATAATTTGCATCATACCCAATATTTTAGATATTAAAATAAAGGTAAATTTTGGGATAAACTGATATATTTCTCAACATAAAGGTTCATTTAGAATATTAAAGTTTAAATTGATATTTGGCTGTGTAAACTATTTCCCCTGTGTATGGTATGTATCTAGTAGCAATAGAGAAAATTTTGGAATCATGGTATACTGAACCTGATTTTACAGAAGCAGACTTGGGACCTCTCTGGCTGTCCTTCCGCAAGGCTCCGTGAGTCCGTCTGGGCGATGCACACCCTTGCCGTGACTCACCCGCTGCAGTCAGGCTCGGGAGTACTAACATGCGATCCTGGGACAACACTGACGCTAGCACTGACGTTTCGGGATCATTCTTCCCAGTAATAAAAAAAATATAGATATACATATAGAGATCTGCAGCTGCACTAATCGCTTCACATAGCAGCAGACAAGGAAAAGAAGCACTTTAACTGCCTTGCTTCGTAAGTTTAAGTTCATTTTGTTTGCTATATTGTTTAAAAATTAAAAAAATATCAACTTACTATAAACAATTTAAAATACGTATAATACAACTTCGTGGTCAAAACATTTGAGCAGTCTATGAAAACAGCAGACACTCTGATCTTACATTTGTTTTTGTTCCATACATGATTTTTCAATCTGCCTCTTCTAAGAGAATCCATAAAACAGCTGTCTTATTTTATGGGGACTAATTTTGTTTAGGGATTTTTTTTTATCACAAAAATACTTAATTGTTACCGAAGAAGAAAAAAAGAAATGAGACAGAAAGTGGCACTCTCCCACTTGTCACTATTTTCTTCTTAAGACACTCTGTACATAAACTATCTGAACCTCCTGAAACATTGTACAAATGTGTTTTCAAAAATCGAAGAAAAAAGTTTAGAGTCTAAAAGTGTTGTTTTATACACTGACTATACAATACATATGGAAAGCATACACACACATCCTAAAGATAAGGTTCTCCAAAGGTTTTTCGACATTCCATCACCCCCGTACTTGGTGGTCTGTCACAGTTGTGGGTGCTCTTGACTTGACTAGGTGTGAGACGATCATATGCCATCTTATATTCTTTATCAAATGCATCTGTAAGAAGTCATCAAGAAAGGCATAAAGAAATTTATATTTGATATTATCAGCAATCAAGTTTTGGTAATACTACAGAACCACAAAATTAGGAGCCAAGAAGGACTGTCTAGGTCATTTCTGCCAACTAAGGGACCACAGAATTTCAGAGCTGGAACGGGCAACTTACAGTTCACAGCACTTTTTTTTTAAGTTGACAGTTTTGGAATTAGTTTGCACAGACCAGTGAAATGTAAAGTACTAACACATCAACTGTTTAAAATTATTCTCTCCCAACTTAAAAAAATTTGGTAAAATACATATAAAGTTTAGCATCTTAACCATTTTTAGGTGCCCAGTTCTGTGGTATAAATACATTCATAACGTTGTACAGTCACCGCCATCCATCTCCATAATTCCCTTCATCTTGTGAAACTGAGACTCTACGCCCTTTAAACCAGCAGTCCCAGCCTTTCTGGCACCAGGGACCAGTTTCACAGAAGACAGTTCTTTCACAAACTGGAATGAGGGATGGTTTCGGGATGACTCAAGCGTACTACATGTATTGTGCACTTTATTATTTTTACATCAGCCTCACCTCAGATCACCAGACAGATCTTGGAGGTTGGGGACCCCTGCATTAAACAATAATACCCTTTTCCTCTCCCCCCAGCTCCTGTCAACTACCATTGTGTCTTGATGATTTTGACTTCTTTAAGTACTTAAGTGGAATCATATAGTATTTGTGTTTTTATGACTGGCATATTACACTTAATATAATGTCTTCAATGTCTTCTGACATGTTGTAGCATGTCACAACTTCCTTCCTTCTTAAGGCTGAATAATAATTTACTATGTATATATCCCATTCTGTTTATCCACTCATCCTTCAATGGATACTTGGGTTGTTGCTTCCACATTTCAGCTATTATGAATAATAGTGCTATAAACATGTGAGTACTAATATCTCCTTGAGACCCTACCTTCAGTTCTTCAGGGTATATACCCAGAAGTGAAACCGTTGGATAACATAGAAATTCTATATTTAATTTTTTAAGGAAAATGCCATACTGTTTTCGACAGCAGCTATACCATTTTATATCACAACTAACAATGCACAAGTGTTCTGATTTTTCCATATTCTTACAAACACTTGTTTTTCTGGGGTTTTTGATAGTAGCTACTCTTTCTAAGGGTGTGACATGGTATCTCATTGTAGTTTTGATCTACATTTCCCTATTAGTGATGTTAAGCATCTTTTCATGTACTTAATTTGCCATCCATTTATCTTCTTTGGATAAATGTCTATTCAAGCTCTTTGCCCATGTTGCAATGGCTTGTTTTTTTGTGGTTGAGTTTTAGGAATTCTTTACATATTCTTGATATTAATCTCTTCTCAGATATATTATTTGTAGGTATTTTCCCTTATTCTATGGGATGTCTTTTTGCACCATTGATACCACTTTTGATGCATGGAAATTTTCAGTTTTCACAATGCCCTATTTGACCTTTTGCCTGTGCCTTGGGTGTCATATCCAAGAAATCTGACAAATCTATGTCATGAAGCTTTTGTCCTATGCTTTCTTCTGATTATTTTAGGACTCACATTTAGGTATTCACAATCCTTTTTGAGTTAATTTTTGTATGAGGGTCCAAATTGATTCTTGTAAGTGGATATTCTATTTTCCCAAAACAATTTATTGAAAAGATTCATGTCCCACAGAAGAGTCTTGGCATTCTTGTCAAAAATCATGGGCTCTCTATCCTATCCCATTTGCCTATAAATCTGTCTTTATCCTGGTACCACTGTTTTGATTACTGTAGCTTTGCCATAAGTTTTGGAATCAGTTAGTGTGAATCCTCCAGATTTGTTCTTTTTCAAGACTGTTTTGGCTATTTGGGATGCTTTGAGACTCCATAAATTTTAGGATGGGTTTTTCTATTTCTGTAAAATACTACTGGTGACTGTATTAAATCTGTAGATTGCTTTAGTAGTACTGATATATTCTTCTAATTTATGAACATGGGGTGGGTTTCCATTCATATATGTGATTTTTGAGACATGTTTTTAATTTTCATGTACAAGTCTTTCACAACTTCCTAAGCATTTTATTCTTTTTGATGCTACTGTAAATGGACTGCTTAATTTTAGTTTTGTATTGCTATAGAAATTCAGCAGATTTTTGTTTCTTGATCTTATATCCTATAAACTTGCTAAGTTTATTATTTATTAACTCTAGTACTTTGGGGTTTTTGTTTTGTTCTGTTTCGATTTGGTTTGGAATCTCTAGGGTTTTCTATATACAAGATCATGTTAGCTATAAACATAGTTTAACTTCTTCATTTCCAATCTGGATGCCTTTTATTTCTTTTTCTTGCTTGGCTGTTCCAGCTAGTGTTGAAGTGTGGAAGCAGGTATCCTTTTCTTGTTCCAGATGTTAAAGGGAAGACTGTTTTTTTATCATTGAATATGGTGCTAACTCTGGGTTTTTCATAAATGCCCTTTATCAGGGTGAAGATATTCCCTTCTCTTTCTTGTTTTTCTAGTTTGTTGAATTCTGTCAAATGTTTTTTTCTGTGTCTACTGAGATACCATGTGGTTTTTTGTCTTTATTCTATTAATATATTACATTAATGGAGTTTTTAAAATTCTGAACCAACACTGCATCCTTGGGATATATCCCTTTTTGTCATGGCATACGATCCTTTCTATATGTTGCTGGATTTGGTTTACTAGTATTTTGTTGAGAATTTCTGTATCTGTATTAATAAGGGATATTGCTCTTCAGTTGTTTTTCCTTGTGACATCTTTGTCTGGGCTTGGTTCAGTTCAGTTCAGTTGCTCAGTCATGTCTGACTCTTTGCAACCCTGTGAACTGCAGCATGCCAGGCTTCCCTGTCCATCACCAACTCCCAGAACTTGCTCAAACTCCTGTCCATCGAGTCGGAGATGCTATCCAACTATCTCATCCTCTGTTGTCCCCTTCTCCTCCTGCCTTCAATCTTTCTCAGCATCAGGGTCTTTTCCAATGAGTCAGCTCTTCTCATCAGGTGGCCAAAGTATTGGAGCTTCAGCTTCAGCATCAGTCCTTCCAATGGATATTCAGGCCTGATTTCCTTGCAGTCCAAGGGACTCTCAAGAGTCTTCTCCAACACCACAGTTCAAAAGCATCTTTCTTTGGTGCTCAGCTTTCTTCATGGTCCAACCCTCACATCCATACATGACTAGTGGAAAAACCATAGCTTTGACTAGATGGACCTGTGTTGGCTAAGTAACGTCTCTGCTTTTTAATATGCTGTCTATGTTGGCCATAGCTTTTCTTCCAAGGAGCAAGCATCTTTTAATTTCTTGGCTGCAGTCACCATCTGCAGTGATTTTGGCCTAATGCATAGAATGAGTTAGGAAGCACTTCTTTTTCTTCTACTTTTTTGGTCAGAGTTTATGAAGGATTAGTGTTTTAGTTTGGGCTGCTATAACAGAATACCATAGACTGGGTGGCTTAAATGATGAACAATTGTTTCTCACTGTTCTGGAGGTTAGGAAGTCCAAGATCAAGGTGCCAGCAGATGCGGTGTCTGGTGAGAGCACTCTTTCTCGTTTGCAGATAGGTGTCTTCTCCTAATATCCTCACATTGCTGAGAGTGAGAAGGATAGTTCTCTTCTCTTCTCTTCTTTTTGGCTGGCTTGCGGGATCTTAGTTCCCCCACCAAGGGTTGAATCCAGGCTGCAGCAGTGAAAGGGCTGATTCCTAACCACTGGATTGCCAGGAAATTCCCTCTTATTTTTCTTATAACGATACTAATCCCATCCTGGAGGCTCCAACCTCCTGATATAATTACTTTCCAAAAACCATGACATTAGGGCTTCAATATATATATATGAATTTTGGGGAGGGGGACACAAACATGCAGGCTATAACAAACAGTGTTAATCCTTCTTTAAACATTTGGTAGAATTCACCATCTGGTCCTGAGGGAGAAGATTTTTGATTACTAACCCAATCTATTTACTTGTAACAGGTCTATTAAGATTTTCGAATCTTCAGTCAGTTTTATTCTTTCTAGGAATTTGCTTGTCTCTTTTAGGTTATCTAATTTGTTGGTATATAACTATTTATTATAATTCTTTTTATTTCTGTGAGGTCAGTAGGAATATCCCTCCTTTTATTCCTGATTTCAGTAATTTGAGTCTTCTTAGTCTAGCTTAAAGATTTTTCAATCTTGTTGATCTTTTATTTTTAAAATAAAAAAAAAATTTTTGGCTGCACTTGGAGGTACAGCATGTGGGATCTTAGTTCCCCAACCAGTGATTCAACCTGTGCCCCCTGCCTGGGCAGCGTGGGGTCTTAACCACTGGATTGTCTGGGAAGTCCCTATTGGTCTTTTTAAAGAACAAACTTTTGAGTTCAGTTTTTCTATTAAAAAAAAATTTTTCCCCCTTTTTTCTCTATTTTATTTATTTCCATAAATATTTATTTCCTTCTTTCTGCTTGCTTTGGGTTTAGTTTGCTCTTCTTTTTCTAGTTTCTTAAGGTAGAAACTGCTTTTAATGAATCTCAAAGTTTTGGTATATTGTATTTTATTTTCATTTATCTCAAAAGTATTATCTAATGACTTTTTGGACCAATTTGTTATTTAGGAGTGTGTTGTTTAATTTCCATATACTTGTGAATTTCCTATTTTCCTTTTATTATTGATCTCTCTTTTCCTTATAGTGTGGTTAGAGAATATACCTTGTATGATTTCCAACTTTTTAAAAATGTATTTTTAAATACATGTATTTAAGAGAGACTTACTTTATGGCTTAATGTTTGGTTTATCTTGGACAATATTCCATGTGCAGTGGAGAAAAGTATGTATTTTGTTGTTGGGTGGAGTGCTCTGTAGATATTTCTTAGGTCTGGATGGTTTACAGTGCTGTTTGAGTCTTCCGTTTCCTTCTGATCTACTGCCTAGTTCTACCCATTACTGAAATATCCAACTATTAATATTTTGGCTGAATGTCTATTTCTCCCTCCAATTCTGCTGGTTTTTACTTCATGTATTTGAGAGCTCTGTTGTTAACAGCATATATATTTCTTATAAATAATAATTGTTGGTGGATTGTTTCATCGTTATAAAATGTCCTTCCTTGACTCTTAAATTTTACTTTGTCTGATATTATTATTATTATTTTCCATTTATTTTTATTAGTTGTAGGCTAATTACTTTACAACATTGCAGTGGTTTTTGTCATACACTGAAATGAATTAGCCATGGATTTACATGTATTACTTTGTCTGATATTAACATAGTCACTCTAGCCTCCTTGTTAGTATTACTTGCATGGAGTATCTTTTTCGATCCTTTTACTTTCTGTTTGTGTCTCTGACTCTAAAGAATCCAAGCACAATAACTGAGAGAAGATGATCAACCAAAAATATTTGAGACCTCCTAAAATACATACTTGGCTACCTTACATCTTTTCTGAAACAAGCTTAATGACATTAGTGATATGACACAATCGTTAAAAGCATAGGACTGGAAATTAAGACTACTTGGTTCAAATATGGCTCTGTTATTGTTGTGAAACCCAAGTTCAAGTTACTTAACCTCCTGGATCCTCAGCTGCCTCAATAATAATATGGGATGATAACAGCGCCTATTCCATAAGGCTTCTGAGAATTATATGGATGAAGCATGGGAGGCACGTGCTACGATGTCAGGCACATGATGAGCCCTCAATGAGCCCGTTAGCTTTCATTATTTATCACTGTTATTGCCAACATGACCAGAATATCGAAGCATGTTTTATATTATATTAAAAGAGAAACTTTTCTAATATACTAATAAAATCTTATATTAAACTAACTAATACTACCAGTATAAAAACATTTTGAAAACTATACCATGGTATGTAAGTATTACATGTTTTAAGTTATGCTGAATTACCTATATCAATGTTTTCTCTTCCCAGTGCCACCAATGAGAGAAACAGTATTTCTCTATATAAACTCCTAGGGGAGAAAAGGAATGGAGAAGATATTACTATTCATACATCTGTATGTATCTATACATTTTTTATGTTAATATAAGCATGAGATATTGTGACACGTCACCAGACAATATGAATCTGCTTAGAGGAACAATACGTCACTTGAGAGAACGACTCACCTCTGTCTTTTAAAGTGAGGACACTTACTCAGTGTGTCTAAAATCTGACTCATTGGTCCATAGACGTCATTCATTTTAATGCTTTTTACCATATTTTTCAATAGTTCCTGGTTAAATGAATTATCACCTTTTTGCAATAAATGGACCATTGGATACTTTTGGGCTGTAAAAGACCAAAAGAGCAGATGAACAAAAGTGTTCTGTGTATAAAGCAGAATGTAATTAAGCAGCAAATGATAGCTATTTAAAAAGCTACAAAGCAGTAAAAATAAAGGCAATAGATAAAAGAACTGAAATCTAAGAATGAAGGAAAAAAAAGGAAGAAATAAGACAAATAATGATAAAAATAAGCTTTTTGTGGCCTCAAATACACAAGTAACTAAAAATACTATTTTCCATAATACAGCCCCTGGAAGGAATTTTAAATCAGCAGCCTGGGATGGAAACAAAAAAATAGGTAAAAAGAATAGGGACAAGCAATGTGCTAAAAATGGAACTCTACAAAATATAACCCCTCCACCACATACAGAGCATCACTCAAAAAACAAAAACCCCTTGACTTCCATAGTAGATAACACTAAAAACATCAAACTTAACACTCACTCTCAAACAAAAGAGTACGATTTTGACCTGTAAGACAAAAAGTAGTATAATAAAATAAAAGTCAGTTACACATTAGTTTAGGCTATTTAAAGCAAGTAGAGAGTACTCTTATATGAAGGAAATGGGCATTCTATGACAGCACTTACTATGCGCATTCCAGAGGATGTACAAGGGCTGTCCTGGATCCTGGTGTAATTTCATATTGTCCCACAACATCTGTATTAAAACATATTTACTGTCTTCAGACATACAGTGGCGAGGAATCTGTGTTGAAGAATAAAAAAATGCTCATTAATGATTCTTACATGATAATGTTTTGTAAATATTTTATAAAGATCCTTAAAAATATTTTTTAGGATGTATGTGTGCAAAAGAGAAAGGGACAGAAAAACCATTGGTTTGTATGCATTTTATAACCTACTGAGGGGAGATGACCTGAGTTGAGTGAGAAGTCAGTGGTCCCTAAAGTAGAAGATTTCACAAAGTACTAAGATCATGAAGAGTTAAGTCTTGACCAGCTTTCGACTGAGGCTCCACAGAAAGATAAATCCAGAAGCCCCATTCTCCAACATTTCAAGACCCTAGCACAGACACTCTGACTGAGTTAACCTCTCAGTCACTCACTCACTGACCCTCCAAGCACAGGCACAGTCAACAGACGTGAAGGACAAGAAGAGAGGACCAAGCTCCTAAACTTGGACAGCTTGCCATTCAGTGGCAGTGACAGCATAATCAAAGAGAAAAAAAAAAAATCAAAAATGCAAGTGAACATACAACAAACTACCTAAATGTCGAATGAAAATCTAGAGTAGAGGAATGAAGAGAATGGTAGCTAGCACATGACTGCAATGTGAATTACAGACGTCCTCCTAAAGTGCTTAGGCTTGTTCTTGAAGGAGGTATGAGGCATGAGTGGGGCCAACTCACAAAGTCATCTTACAAGAGTCATTTACAGTTATTCTTGAGGCTATAACAAAAAGCCAAGCCCATTTTGTGTAAACTTTTATAAGAAGTCCAAAAAACATGACTGTCTTACTGCTGAACGGCAAGAAGAAAAATTATTTACAACAGTTTTATTGATTTGGATGGTTATTAAAAATATTTAGCATAAAATTACTTTCTTGTCATTAGGAATATGCGAACATTACAGTGATGACAGTAGCACTGAATTTTAGATAATTCTTACTCTCGTACCTTTGAATACTTGTTACAATGCTCAGAAGAAAGAATCAATCCAGGTAAATTACTGGGTAAGTCAAGACGTCTAAAATACCACACCAGGTTCCAAAAAACAATTGGATGATGGTCCACAAAGTCTGCCACTGTTATTGCACGATCACCTTCATTTTCCAATAAGCTTTCAAGTTCCTTCCATACCACTAATGGACTAAGATATGGAACAGTGATAGGATCTGGACTTGGGAGGTGCCATTCTAATCCTAAAGAATCCTGTTGAGTAAATAAAAACTGTAAACAGCAAATACAAGATGATGATACTAAATCATTTTTTTATATGCCTGTCAATGACTTCTACATAATTAGAAATGTAATTGTATAATATAACAAGATAGCCTTCTTAATAAAATTGAAGCTTATGAGGCTGTTTAGCACAAGGGGAACAAAATCAAATGCAAATCATCAATATCCAAACTGTAAAAAACACCAAAATACATACTGCAGCGCCTTGTAAAGTAGTTGGCAGGCTGCCTGTGGGAATGAGCTTCTGCCCTCCAATGTCTTCCTTATCCAAGGTGCCGTAAGTACTAACACTCCTGGCCATTGGAAATATCGGACATTTTGACATAGCTGCTTTTGATCTGTCAGCAGGGATCTGAATACTTCGGGCACATGTATTTTCCAGCAGCTTAGATTTGCTTGGACATTAAAAAAGGAAAAAAAAGTATCATTCTCTAGATTTGTTTTATTTCATCTGACCATGTTCTCTTTAGATTCAGAGCTGCACGTAACAAAGTAAAACAAAGGAAAGATGTAAGGTGGCTTTGGCTTGGGAGAAAGGATAGAGCTTAAAGTAGCCTAGTCATGTTAAATTTCCTTTTTATCAGTAACCTTTAAATATAAGTCATTCATTTGTTCAAAACATTTAGTGGACAACTTATACCGAGAAACCACAGTAGGCCCAGGGAAACAAAGCAGAAACAACAGGCACCTATTCCTCAGGAGTCAGAACTAGTGGGAGACAGTCAAAGAAAGGGTACAGAAGACCTGTGATGAAAGAATGCACACACCCAGACTTGCAGCTTTGTAGTCTAAGCAATCAGGATCAAAGCAGGCTAGCAGGTCACGCTAGCCTGCCAGTACCACGTATGCATTTTCTTCTGCACGTGCAGTTACCAATGTGACTTCTGTCCAGCTCTATTTATTGCATTTGGCACTTCTCCAAAATGGAGATGATAGTAGCCTTTGTTCTAAGCACAGATTTACTTGTATTAGGCTTACTGTATAATTCTTAGTTTGATTTTACAGTTCATCTAACAGCTCCAAATGTTTTCTTAGATTATTAAATATTCCTAAATAGAAAATTAAATACTACAAAGTAGAAATATGTTAGTACTGACTTAATTCCTCAAAAGAGAGATAAGAGAAAGATGTTCGTTATAAACTTCAAGTGTTCTACATAATTTTTACCTTTAAAATAATAGTAAACATTATCATACGTGAATTACACAGCTTAAACTTTGGGGATTCTTGAAGTATAAACTGTTTTTAAGTTATGTATTTATTTAAGGCTACACTGGCTCTCTGTTGCTGTGCGTGGGCTTTCTCTCGCTGTGGTGAGTGGGGACGACTCTAGTTGCGGTGCGCAGGCTTCTCGTTGCGGTGGCTTCTCTCGTTGTGGAGTGTGGGCTCTAGACTGCGGGCTCAGTGGTTGTAGTGCACGGGCTTAGCTGCCCTGCGGCATGTGGGATCTTTCCAGATCAGGGATCAAACCCGTGTCCCTTGCATTGGTAGGCAGATTCTTAACCACTGGGCCACCAGGGAAGCCCATAAAGCATAAACTATTAACTGTTGAAACATTTAGATTATTAGAGAATTTCAATATTATTTTAATTAGGAATAAGAATTTACGATAATAAATCTATTATACCTAGGGATTTAAATCTTAAAATGGTCAGCTAATTTTTCTGTCATAAATGGAAATGTATATGTTGTTAACATATAGTTCCACATAATCATAATTACCTATTCAGATCAAAACTCCCTTGAACAGAGAGAAGAGATGTGTCAAGACCAGAGGTTGATGTTGAGATGCAAGACTGCCTTGTCTGACTTGAAAAGGAGGATGGAAAATGTATATTTTCTGTAGATGGGCTTGACTTCAAAAAGTATCTGTAATGTGAAAGAAAGGAGCTTTTTGATAAAAGAGACAGTCTAGGAAACATGATCCTTAAACACAAAGAAAAAAAAACAAAAACGTGAATCATTACCTTCCAGGTCGTCTTAAATCTCTTATCTCTATATTCAGAAAGGGCAAGAAAAGATTGCCACAAAACGGGCAGGTAGTATTGAGATTTGAGTCATCTGCTGTCCAGCCAGCCATGATTTCCTCATCGTGGACCAGACAATCACAGGTTTTACACCGAGAGCAGCTTGAGATAAGGACCTATGGGAGAAAACAGCACTTTATAAAGTAAGCTAGTGAGTGCACAAAATTATTTCAATTAATAAATCTATTGGAAAACTAAAATTCAGAATGATTTAGAAGTTACAAACAAAAAAATGGATTATTATCAGTACATTATATAATACACTCATCTTTATTTCAGCTAAGTCTATTCCAAAATTTTTGCCTGGAAGGGAAACTTGCATTTCAGTGAGCATTTTTACCATTATAATTATGTACTATAAAATGTGCCATGATTTTATTGGGCTTCCCAGGTGGTACTAGTGGTAAAGAACCCGCCTGCCAATTTTAGGAGACACAAGAGACGGGGGTTCGATCCCTGGTTTGGGACCATCCCCTGGAGGAGGGCGTGGCAGCCCACTTCAGTGTTCTTGCCTGGAGAGCCCCATGGACCGAGGAGTCGGGCTACAGTCTGTAGGGTTGCAAACAGCTGGGACAGAACTGGAAACAGCACAGCACACACACACAATTTTATTAATGGAAAACTAAACCCAAGCATTCGTTTGTTAATACACAAAATAGGTACTGGTAATTCCATGTTACAGATCTGTGCTACTCAAAGTGTGGTCAGCAGAGAAGAGGTGGTCTATAAACTCTTACTGGTTTGTGATGAGCTAAGTAAAGAAAGGAGAAGAGGATCTGGGGACCTTTAAAGTAACTGGTCATTTCTGCAACAGCTAAGTTGGTGATCAACAGATTTTACAAGAGTATCAGCCATGACAGATTGGAAATTAAAAACAGCAACAACCAAAAAACCCCTGGTCTTTCACTACAGACAGTTTAAGAAGGATTGCTAGAGAGAAATGCAAATACTGTTGTCATTACATTAATAAAATATAGAATTCGTGAAGCCATCAGAAACTGTAAATTGCAACACTGGTGTTCATCATTTATTTCCAACTGCATGCAAATTTACTTTCCAAATTTATGCAAATTAGTGTGAAATAGCAACAGTCACAAATGTATTTGGAAGCAATTTTTGCAGAAAAATTAGGGGAAACTTTTAAAGTGTAAAAGTAAAACCTTTTCACTGTAAGAAAACAGGATATAGCAGCATATCCAGCAGATATCTATATTAGACTGATACAAAGAATGAAAAACATGATGGAAAAAGTGGACACAAATGCCAAAACCACTCCCAGTATCCTCATCCAAAAAGTGTGCCTACACAGTGAAACTAGTTAAAAGTGTTTAAGAAGCAAAATAACTATTGAAAGAGGACATACATAAAACAAGGGTCAAATATAAATGCTGAAAATAAAAGTGCTATCAAGGGAAGTATGGAACTTTTCTAAACAGAAAAAGTCATAGACATTTTAAGTTTATTCACCTGTAATATACATTCTGAAATTTTCAGATGCCATATATTTAATTTTATCACTACCAGAGACTATCAGTATTTAAGAAATTTTACTAAGTAGCACATTAAGATATTCTTTTGATTAAAATTGTACCTCCATTGCATAGTTCTGGAAGATATTTGTATTACTCGTGTTGCAGGAAGATGCCACCTCTGATTTCCCAGGTAAGGCAAACTTGGATAAGGATCCTGTTCATTATTAAAAAACAAACAGCAAAATATTAAAATTAATAAGAAAGGATGTGAGAATCTCTCTCTCTAATTCTCCGGTAAAATGTCAAACTGTCCTATTTAAAATTTAAGAAAAAACACATAATAATGAAAAATGTTTTTCAAGTGTGCATTTGTCTTTTGCGTATACACCTAAGGAAATGTATTTTAATTCATCACTCACTTATTTTCATTACTCACTTATTAAGCACACTGCATGTACAGGCTAGGAAGCATACCAATTGTTTGTAATTACTATTTTGCTGTTTCTATTGTTACATGATTAAGATATAAGAATATGTGTTTAGTTCTAAAGTTTAAAAAGTATAAAACAGCTGATCTTACTTCAGATCATGAAAAGAATTACTGGCTAACTTTCTGCCTAGTAAGACTCTTTAAAATCTGTAAGTGTAGTATCACTCTTAAGTACTAGGGAAGAGCTTCCAAGTATATTCTTAAGAGCAAAGAGATATGAGTAGGTACTAAAATGACAACAACAAAAAATGAGAATAGTTCTGTGGTCAAGTTGATTGCTGACAGTGGCTATATCTAGTTAGGAAAACTGGAGGTAATCTATACTTCTATACTTTTTTGTCTCTAGTTACTACATTTCATGAATGAACACTGGTATTTTTATAAATATAAAGGTATTAAAACAAAGTAACGGTATAAACTAGTATTTCCAAGAAAGAGAGAGGACAGGAGAACATGAAATACCACCATGGGGATGCAATCAGCATAATCCAGACTGATGATCCAACTGCTTCAGCAAATAAATCACAAGAGGAATAAAAGCCCTAGACCTTCCGTGAGCCCAAGCCCCTGCCTCACAGAGATGCAGAGAGAGAGAGAGCGCCGAAGCCTCGTATCATCCTCGATGCTTAGAAATGGTGGTATCTGCAGTTCTTTCCTGATGGTCTTCCAATAACCTGTAATTCCGCCTCCCTCTGCTAAAGCTAGTTCAAAATTGCTATTAGTCTTGACTAAATCAATCATTTTATACTGGCAGTCTACCTTTTGTATCTAATCAATCTACAGCACAGAATATTCTTTTTAGCAAAGTGAATCAGGATGTGAGGTTATCTTATTTAGTTAGTTCAATAAACTCTTCTTGTATGATAGAAAAAAATAAGAGGGGGGAGCTAATCACCTGATTATATGACAAGGGGGGAAAATACAGGGAATGAAGATGAGAGGGAGTTAATAGACATCAAACAAATGCAACAAATAGACCCTGTCTGGGTCTCAACTTGAACAAACCATCTATAAAAAGTTTTATGAGATAGTTGTGAAAATTTAAACTATATATATATTTTTATATATTATGTAATAAACATTGACACATTAAGAAATATGATATTACAGTTTTGTTTTAAAAAATGAATGCTTCACAAAAGATACATACTGTGAAAAGTGAAAGTTGCTCAGTCGTGTCCGACTCTGCAATCTCATAGACTATACAGTCCATGGAACTCTCCAGGCCAGAATACTGGAGTGGGTAGCCTTTCCCTTCTCCAGGGGATCTTTCCAACCCAGGATTGAATCCAAGTCTCCCACATGGTGGGCAGATTCTTTACTAACTGAGCTATCCCCTAAGGTCTAAAGGGCGTCCCTTGTGGCTCAGCTGGTAAAGAATCTGCCTACCATGCGGGAGACCTGGGTTCAATACTGGGTTGGAAAGACCACCCGGAGAAGGGAAAGGCTACCCGCTCCAGGATTCTGGCCTGGAGAATTCCATGGACTGTATATAGTCCATGGGGTTGCAAAGAGTTGGACAGGACTGAGCAACTTTCACTTTCACTTACATACTGTATGAGTCCATACAAATGTTAAAAAATGGCTGACTACAGTGTTAAGATAATGTTCACCTGTGTAGGGAGTGGTGAGTAGATGTGGGCATGAGAGGGGGATCTGGATGCTGTTATTGAACTGTTATCTTAACCTGATACTGGTTATTCAGTTGTTCTCAATTTGTGACATGGAAAATATTTACATACATAAAAACGCACATAGTACATGTATAACAGAGTAAATAATAAATTTCTTAAACGAAGTAACTTTAATAAAAAAGTTAAAAAAGATATAACATTAAAGTCCTTGGGTTTTAGAAATACACGCTGCAGTATTTATTAATAAAATTATATACTGTTTGGGATTTACTTTAAAATAGTTCAGTGGGGCAAGAAAAAATGTTGGCAGCAGAAGACAGAGGGGATAAGATAAAACAAGATTGGCCATTTTTTAAAATTAATTTTTATTGAAGTAGTTGAAATGCAATGTTGTATTAATGACTGAAAGTGAAAGTTAGTCCCACAGTCGTGTTCAACCCTGCGATCCCGTGGACTGTAGCCTGCCAGGCTCCTCTGTCCATGGAATTCTCCAGGAGAGAGTACTGGAGTGGGTTGCCATTTCCTTCTCCAGTGGCCGTTTGTTGATAACTGTTGAAGTTGCATGAAGGATACATGGGAGTTTGTTGTGCTGTTCCTTCTACTTTTGTGATTGTTTGAATACTCATTCCACAATAAAAGCTTTTAAAAATAGTAAATATGCAAATTTAAAAAATATTATGTGTTCATTCCTCACATGATATACCAGGATAAATTTCAAATGGATTAAATATCTAAATCAGGAGTCAAATCTATTTTTGTATGACCACAAGTATGATTTTTACTATATATATATATATATATATATATATATATATATATATATATATAGCACACAAAACTGAAACTATTTACAATATGGCCCTTAACAGAAAAAGTCTGCTGATCCCAGAAAATGTTAAAGGGGAATGAGAGAAGTATTGAAGAAAGTAGTGGTGAACCTAGGGGAAGGGAAAATCTTTCCCAATGACTCAAAATCCAGAAGTAATAGGGAAAAAACTGGTAACTCTAATGATACAAAATTTAAAACTTTTATGTGGGGGAAGAAAACCCCGAAATTTGACACATGTGGAAAAAGCATCTGCCACTGATGTAAAAGACAAAGGATTAATTCCCTATTGAGCTATTAAAACTTAAAAAAAAAAAAAGGTGGTGGGGGGACGAACAAGTGAAAGTGAAATGTAGACAAAAGACAGTTCACAGAAAAATACAAATAGTCCCTGAATGTACAAATAGATATGCAATTTATAAAATAAATATAAATGAAAATTAATTGAAACACTCTCTTCACCTATCAGATGGCAAAAATCCAAAAGTGTGCTAACAAAATTTTCTTCACAAGGCTGCTGGGAAATGGGTATTTGTCTACACTACCTGTGGGAATACCAAATTGTATACCCCTGAGGAAGGAACTTGGCAATATCACTTCAAGGAAGAACTTGGAAGATCTTCTAAAGCTACCCTGGCAAAAATATAATATGGCATATGTGCATCATAGCATTATTCATAACAGTTAAAGACTGAGAATTTAAAGTCCATCAACAGGGAAGTGGTTAAAATAAACTGATACAGTCACATACGATGAACAAATGAAAGAGGAACAATGCTATGTGATGATATGAAATGTTCTTCAGAATATGATGTTAAGTGAAAAAAGCAAGTAACAGTTAATTGTTTAACAGTTATGTCACCTTTTGAGTAAGAAGACAAGGAGGTATTAAGAACACAGAAACACAACACACATGCTTTTAAAAGTATACATATATTTTTAAAAAGCAACAATGAAAGGATAAATAAAAAATGAACAAAAATGGTTACCTCTAGGGACAAGGAGAAAACAAGCTGAAGGGATGAGGACAGAAGCTAGAGCTCTCTGAAAAGTGCCTTGGTTCTCTATTGCTTTGAGCCATGCAAATCATTTACAAAATTAAAATATAAGGAGAAAAAGTAAAGGTGCCGCCTGTCAAATGCAGCATGGCGGAAGTGTCTGGACAAACCTTCTAAGGAGGCAGAACTTTCCAGGCTTGTTCTGCTGAAATCAACCCCCTTGGTCCCTGAAGTGGCGCTGCTCTCCTGAGAAGTGGCTCCTTCCAACTCATGGCAGACATCTTCATCTGTTAGAGAGGCAGATTCAGAATCCTGGGCTCCCACTGAAGAAAGACTGGTACGGTCAGAACTTTGATCCTAAGGACATAATTATAAGCTTAATTTCCTTCATATTTAAAGTTATTTAAAAGGTCACTTCTAAGGCAGAGGAAATGCCTAATTACTCAGATGATCAATCAATCAACATTATAACTTCTAGGGGAAAAAAACCCCCAGCATTTTACAAGGGCATCCTAATTTGGATAAACATGAGCTGGAGATCAATTTTTATGGCAGCATTTCTTAGATCAAAGCAGATACCTGTTACATAACTGCTAACTTTAAGCCTTTGTTTATTGTTAATTTTCTTCCCTGCAAATCCCAGTCCAGGATGATACCACTAGAAAATTACATTTTATTCTCTTTTAATTTTATTTGTTCACATTTTATTCTTTTCTATAGCAATACAAGTTATTATTCCTGGATCCCGTGAAAGTTACTGTGTAGTCTGGGTACTGTTATAATCTCTTGGAGAATGTTGTGCTATTTGTTTCAGCAGGCAGTCAACTGAGTTACATTCAGCTTGTAATTTGTGTTTTGATTTTTGTAGGTGGTGATTTAATACTCAGTTTAATTCTCTAAGCCTTGTCCTCCATGCTGGTCTGCATCTATGCCATGTATGTGTAAGCTCAAGGGTGAGATGGATACTTGTGTGGGCTACAGACATAATCATAAATTCTTCTTTCACAACTTCCCTTCATGCTCTCCTGCCCAGAGACCCCCTTCTTTGGTTCCTCTCTCCAGGAATGAGGATTCTCCCGAAGTTTTAGCTGCCAGGATGCCAGGCCACACTGTGACTGGGACCTGCTCTTGGGGCAAAGATGCATAAGAAAGAAAATGGGAAATTTTCTTCATGATCTGCTGCTTTTATTTTTCAGAATCCTTAGATAGTCGCTTTTTTGTATTTTGTCTGGAGTTTTTAGTTGTAAGTGGAGAGATGGGTTTTAGTGGCCTTATGTTACCACACTGGAAATAAAATTTTCACCCAATTTTTTTGCTTGTTTAATTTTATTTTTTAATTGGAGGCTAATTACTTTACAACATTGTGGTGGTTTTTGCCATACATTGACATGAATCAGCCATGGGTGTACATGTGTTCCCCATCCTGAACCCCCCCTCCCACCTCTCTCTGCATCCCATCTCCCATCCCTCAGGGTCATCCCAGTGCATCAGCCCTGAGCACCCTGTCTCATGCGTCAAACCTGGACTGGCGATCTATTTCACATATGATAATATACATGTTTCAATGCTATTCTCTCAAATCATCCCACCCTCGCCTTCTCCCACAGAGTTCAAAAGTCTGTTCTTTACATCTGTGTCTCTTTTGCTGTCTCACATATAGGGTCATCATTACCATCTTTCTAAATTCCATACATACGCGTTAATATACTGTATTGGTGTTTTTCTTTCTGACTTACTTCACTCTGTATAATAGGGTCCAGTTTCATCCACCTTATTAGAACTGATTCAAATGCATTCTTTTTAACAGCTGAGTAATATTCCATTGTGTATATGCACCAAGCTTTCTTATTCATTCGCCTGCCGATGGACATCTAGGTTGCTTCAATGTCCAGGACTGGCATGAGATGGTACCTCACTGTCGTTTTGATTTGCATTTCTCTGATGATGAGTGATGTTGAGCATTTTGTTAGCCTGTATGTCTTCTTTGGAGAAATCACCCAAATTTTTAAAGAATATTTTTGCTGGGTACAGAAAAACACATTGGCAGCATTTTCTTTCAGTACTCTGATCAAGATGTCTTTCCAGCATCTTTTGACATCACTTTCTATTCCGAAGACAACTGTCAGTTTTCTTATTGTTGCTTTTTTTTTTTAAAGAAATTAATGCTTTATTTGAGAAACTTACTTCCAAATTACTTTTATGTGTTTTTAAAAGTCACAAAGAGCATCCAAGAAAAAAAATACACAGTTTCCATAGAAATAAGGACAAAAAAATGGGGTTGATGACTGCCCTAAATGATATTTCCCAAAGGAAAAAACTGTAATATTTAACTTTTTTTGGGGGGGCGGGGCAGGGTAAGTGAACGACACACATCATAAATAAAATTTTCTTACCTTACAAGGAGGAAGGACTATGATCCTGTTTTTGATGCATATTAAATACAAAATCCACTGTTCTCATCAAGATGAGGGAGAAAAGGTCATTCTTCAACACTTCAGTTCTCATGCAATGAAATCCAAAGTTCTGTTGAATCCACCTTTTCCATTCATGCACTGCTTATACTTTCTCTTCTGAGACACATTTATGGTATAGGCATTTACAGAGCCATCACCTTTTCCCTTTTGTGGAGTCAAAGGGGGCAAATCCCCTTAACTCACCATTTCTGTTCCTTTCGCTGTTTTGCCCTCTGTCTTCCTCAGTTATCTGATGTTCTTTGCTCTTTTTTTCTTTCTTCTCATCTCTTCTTTCTTTCAGCTGAGAAGGGGAAGGAGATGTGGATCTATGTTGCCTTGGGGACCTGGAACACTTTCTGTGCAGGGATCGAGAGCAGCTTCTCCGATCTTGCTCCTGGAGGGGACCTTTCTCGGAACCTGTGTTCTCTTTCCAGGGGTGTGGACTGGGACCGCCTAAGCTCCCTCTGTGGGGAGCGACTGCGGCCGAGACCCATTTGGAATCTTCCTTCAGTACAAGTCGCCCCGGAAACATATTGTTGCTCTTTTGAAGGTAACATATCTCTTTTCTTTGGCTCCTTTTAAGGTTTTCTTTGTATTTCATTTTCGTCTAACATTAGATGCCTATGGGTCTTTTTTTTTGCACTTATTCTGCCTGACATTCATATATCTTCTAAATATGTGAGTTGACATCTTTAATCACTTTTGGAAAATTCGCAGTAATTAGCTTTTAAAATTTTCTTTCTACTCCGTTCTTTCTTCTTCTGGAACTCAATTACATCAATGTTAGGCAGTTCCACTAAACCACATATTCTTTCCAGTATTTTCCCTTTTTTTTTCTGTCTATACTTCTGTGTGGATATTTTCTACTAACTCCCATCAAATTCAACTAATTTTTCTTCTCCTGTGTTTTGTCTGCTGTTAAATCCAACAACTGTATTTTTAATTTCACATCTTTTTCACTTCTAGAATTTACACTGGTTCTCTTCAATAGGTAATTATTTGGGGAAATTTTCCATCCTTCTAGCTTTTTTTTTTAAACCCTTTCTTCTATTTTCTTGGACATATTGCAATTACTTCCAAGTACCTAGCTAATTCAAATATTTAGATCACCTGAAGGTCTATTTCCTACACCATCTGTTTTTCCTGTTTTCAGTTATGGTCCTTGTCTCTCAGTAGAGCTGTGTATTTTCTTTTGGCTGCACTGGGTCTTCATTATGGCGCGTGGGCTTCTCTTGCTGTGTAGCGCAGGATCTAGAGTATGTAGGCTCTCTACTTGCAGCACACAGGCTTAGTTGCTCTGTGGCATGGGGGACCTTAGTTTCTCAACCAGGAATTGAACCCATGTCCCGTACATTGGAAGGCAGAACCACTGGACCGACAGGGAAGTCTGTCAGTATAGCTATTTTTAATTGAATAACAGAACATAAAAAACTACATAGAAAAAACTGTAACTCCAGTTAATGTTCTGTTCCTCTGGAAAGAACACACTTTCTCCTGTTAAAGCAAAGACTGATTGGTTTGATCTAATCACAGACTGAGCTGAGTCCAGCACAGGTTGCAGCTTTGGTCAAGTGCAGTCTGCCTTTGGTTTGCTCATGTTCCTAAGGCATAGCTCTGCAAGAATTTGATCTAAGGGCCTGGTGTGCGTACCAAAGATTCCCTGCCCCCACTCCCCTAAGCTCTCAGCAGTTAAATTACTGTATTCCCAGCACCATAAAATTGCTGAGAACTTTTTTTTTATTGCTTACCTTTTCATACTCCCGTTTCATGCATTATTTGGAAAATGTCTTGAAAGAAAAAAAACTTGTGCATCTGAGGACTCTCAAATTTGTCAAAGGGACAAATACTTTTGTCTCTTCAGTTCCACAAGATTCCCAAAGTCCTGCTGGCCCCCTCACCTCTCCAAAGTCCTCTGATAAGACAAAGCCTGAATTTGCAACCTTGTATTCTGTACTCAGAATAAGCAAACACCCTCATGGAAAAAGTAGCTATAGGACTTTAGCTCATCTCTGAGATTCTCCTCTCTAGAATCTTGCCCGTCTATTTTCTAGTTGTTTTAGCAGTTCTCTGATGACTTTAAGCAAGTACTTAAGGGTACCCACTCCAATATTCTGGCCTGGAGAATTCTATAGACTGCATAGTCCATGGGGTCGCAAAGAGTCAGATGTGACTTTCACTTCACTTCTATATTTCATCTAGCTTTTTGCTCTGGGAGGTATGCGGATGTATCACAAGGTACTACGTTCTAACCAGGAAGAAAAATCCTATGCCTAGCTGGTAATTTTTGAAGGCAATAAATAATGAAGCTCAGTAAGCATTTTTACTCCAGCTACAAAGCACTTTCTTTCAAAACTGAACTACAAATATAACCTTAGTTGGTGAATTCTTTCCTTTTGAAGTTATTATTCAAGTTCAAATTGTGATACTTACAAATCTTATGTATCTCAAGAGTCCTTTTTGTAAAGCTGTATTTTAGGAGAATGGTAAAAACACATCTTTGCAAGTAAGGGACTTTTGGTGGTAGAGGAGGGTAAAAGGAAACATAGAAAATACTAATAAACCTACCTTCGATGATGTGGTGTACATGGTGAATCTGGAATACCATTTGCTTGCTTTCTCTGCGACTCCTTTTCCAGCTGTGAACATACTGTTTCTTAGAACATCTAGTTTAGGTACTAGCAATGTATCTAAATTAAATGAAGGTGATGAATGGGTTAATGCATCTTGAGATTCTTCCCTAAATGGACAAGTAGGTGAGAAGGCTGGAGAAGACCAGAGTCTATCCCTTGGCCTGTCCTCATTTTTTGAGTAACTTTTAGATTTGGTAAGTCTCACTGGTCTGGGAGAATTAGGAGGCAGGCTAGATCTTCTGCATGCCTTGACCAATGTTGGACTTTTCTTAGTGGTGACTTTATCATCACAGGCCCGTTGTAAATCAATGCTTGGTGTTCGACTTGTCAAAGGACTGCTCATGTTGTTCATATACATCTCAATTTCTTCAGCTAAATCCCGCCTAGCAGACGGTGTTGAAACACTTTTGTTATCATCCTCCTCCTCTTCCTCCTCCTCTTTTTGCTGCTGTTCAGTCTCAGCAACCAAAAGTGAGAGGGGATCAAATCCTGTGGCAACATCAGTTTTTTCAAAAGGTTTCATTGAAAAGCTGCTGTTCAGGCGCTGACTCCTCCTGGGATTTTGTGGAACAATGAACCGCGCTTTTGAACTATCTGTTTCATTGTCTAAGTCCTCTAAGTCAAAAATAACAGGAGAATCCACTTTATCTGCCAAACAATTAGAACCATCAAAAGGTATATCATCGTCACTCGATTCCTTTTCTATACTGTCTCTCTTTGATCTTAAAGATGGCTTCCCAATATTAAGACTATTTGGTCTTGTGCGTTTTGAGATTACATTTGAAAGAATTTTTGCATCAGCTCCTAATTTTTCAACCATATCTCCAGGGTTTGCTTCCTGGTTCATTCTGTTGAGCATAAGTCCCATTAGCACTCCTCCACTAAGATTACGGTTTCTATTTGCCCAGGACAGTTGCTGCTGCAAATTAGGCTCATTGTCACTTTTATGTCTTTTCCTGAAGCATCTACTTTGAATGTTTCCTGTTTCATTTGTATCCTCAAAAGACGACATTAAGAGTGGCTCAGATGTGCTTTCTAAAAAACAAGAAAAGTGCTTTTAGCCATGAAAAATGTAATATGCAAATATAAGTTGTCTTAAATATTTAAGCTACCAATAATAAAAATGGTAACAGCAAGAATTTATCAAGTACCTGCTATTTCACAGATGCTATACTAAGGCACTTTATTTACATTATCTACCATAATCATTCTAACATCCTTATGGGTGGAGAAAAAGCTTATACTCAGAGAGATTAATTACCTAGCCCAAAGTTACCTAGCCCTTAAGTGATAGAACTGGGATTCAAATCAAATATGAAGGGTACGCTCTGAGATATAAGGATGCACTACTTTTAAAAATTTATAAGACTGATATTTACCCTTGGTATATTTATAATAACAACAATACTAATGAATTTATGTCCATTTCACCGAACTGATTAAATAAAAACGGTTATACAATTGTGGTTGTGCTAGATAACCTGAAGGTTCTGAGTCTTCTGCCTATAAAAGGAAAAATAAAACCAAAAACACGAAGCCAAACCAAAGACAGCTATGTGAGCTTTATAAAAAAACTGATTTTTAAAACTCTAAATTCTCATGATCACAGATGTGGCTAAATAATTTTACTTTTTCTTTACATATTGATTCAAGTTTATAATACTTGAATGTGAACAGCAACCTTCTATTTGGAAACACTGTTCACTGCTTTTAACCAGAAGCAGAAATCAAGACTTTTGATCACTTTAATTGTCCTTATTATGTGGGAGTCTCCTAAAGCATTAGTCTAGGTATAGTACTGTCAACTACTCTTTTTACATGTTTTATCCAACAGAATTAGCTCTCTGTTACCTGGCAATTACTAAAACTGTGCCTTTTTTCCTGTCATATGATGCATTCAGGTAACAGGATAGGAGATAAAAGGGACTACTAGAGACCTTAAAAGTCTACAAACTAATATTGTTTAATAAGCATATATTAATAGCATTAATAAGAAAACTTTCTACTGGACAGGTTATGTATTATCAAAGACCTGGAGGAATCTTATAAGCCAAAGATAAAACTCGAGGATTGCATTTAAATAGATGAACAAGGGTTCCTTCACAAAGTAAGAACTATGCAAATGGCCTAAAGACAAATAAAGCTGGTTATCCAATTATACCAGGGGTCGGCAAACTACCACTGAGCCAACTCCCGTCTGTGGACTGTTTTTATAGTCTCAAATGGTTTAACATTTTAAGAGTTGTACACATCACACACATAAAGAACAGGCAATTGGGTTTCCCAGTGATGCAGTGATTAAGAATCCACCTGCCAACGCATGGGACACAGGTTTGATTCTTGGTCTGCAAAGGTCCCATATGCCACAGAGCAAGTAAGTGTGTGTGCTACAACTACTGAGCCTGTGCTCTAGAGCCTGGAGCTCAAACTGCTGCAGCTCACGTGCCCTGGAGCCCGCGCTCTGCAACAAGAGAAGCCACCACCGCAGGAAGCCTACACACTGCGACGGGAGCATAACCCCCACTTGCCACAAGGAGAGGAAGTTCGTGCACAGCAATGAAGAGTCAGTGCACTTCAACGAAGACCCAGCACAGTCAAAAACAGTAATAAACAAACAGAACAGGCAATAGAGACTGCATGTGGCCTGTAAAGCAAAAGTATTTACTGTTTGGCCATTTACAGAATAGTTTATCTGATTCTAAGTTGACATACATGCTAAATTCCACCAGACTAGGCTGGATGCTGCTCTAGCCCAGGGGTTGCCCTTCTTTAGATCTGTGAGCAGCTGTAATCCCTTCCTACTACACAGTCTTGACACGTTGCTTCCCACTGCCTGGAATTCTCCCTTTCAATTTCTCCTTCAGAACTCCTGTGTGCTCAGTTGCTCAGTTGTGTCCAACTCTTTGTGACCCCACGGACGCTAGCCCACCAGACTCCTCTGTTTACGGGATCATCCAGGCAAGAATACTAGAATGGGTTGCCATTTCCTCCTCCAGGGCATCTTCCCAACCCAGGAAATGAACTTGTGTCTCCTGTGTCTCCTGCGTCAGTAGGCAGATTCTTTACCAGTAAGTCACCTGGAAAGTCCACATCCTCATTTATTTTCTATTCATTCTTCAGATGTAAGCTCAAAAACCATATTATCAAGGAAGCTTTCTTGACCAATGTCCCCTAAATCCAGGTTAGCCTCTCTATTACATGCTCTCACCCTTCTTGACAGTACTTAATATCAGGCTGTTTTCACATTTACTTGATTATTTGATTAATGTTTTCTCATCCCTCCCATGTGTTTCTCTATGAAGTCAGGGACCATGTTTATTTTTTATTCTTTACTATATCCTAGGTAGCACCTGGCATATGGTAGCAGATAATAGGTGTGGAAAAACAATATTGCTGAATAAATACTGTCTTCTGGGAAACAACTGCAGCCAACAGACCAACCCAGAATGTAACATAGCATAATATATTACAATATGACATGTTATAGCTAAATGTAGTAGCTAAAGATAAAAAGCTAAGACACACTTAAGGCAGAATTAGGCCTAAAAACATATTTCAAAGTATGTTTTCAAGTTTAGAGTATGTTTCACTTCAGAGTAAATTGTTTTGTGCTTGAACTTTCAGTAATTCAATATACATTTATCAAAATGTTAAAATTCCTGAGCTTCCCTGGTGGCTCAGTGGTAAAGAAGCTGCCTACCAATGGAGAAGACTTGGGTTTGATCCCTGTCCTGAAAGATCTCACACACTGCGGAGCAACTAAGCCTAGGTGCCGCCACTACTAAGCCTGTGTTCTAGACCCCAGGGGCCGTCACTACTGAAGTCCTCGTGCACCAGAGCCTGTGCTCTGCAACATGAGAAGCTACTGCAGTGAGGAGCCTGCACACCGCAACTGGAGAAAAACCCGCCCAGCAACGATGACCTAGTGTAGCCAAAAATAAAGAAAATTATTTTTTACAATGTTAAAATTCCCAAGATAATCATGAAGTAACTAACTATAGGGTGATGCTTTTAACTATCAAAACAGTAAAACATGTCTTTGGTTATTCCATTCCCATATCTTTTGGAAGCTGTCATTTATTTATGTAATGATATAAATAAAATATACACGTATTGTACTGCAAAACATAAACTTGAAAGGTGTTTTGAATCCTAGGAGTACTGGTATACAAGAAAAAAGATACAGAAAAGTTAATTATTCCTATAAATCCCACATACAGTCTTTGGTAGGAATGATAAACCCAAAGTACTTAACAAATAGTAAAGTTTTCAAGTCAAAAATCTTAAGGATAAACTAACAACTTCCGTTCACACCTAGGAAACCTATCACAGGCTTTGAAAAAGTGACTTGTTCAGCACAGAGGGCAAAATTAAAAGCCATATGCTGAGTCAGATGCTGATGACTCTGACAGAATGTCAGAAACACAGGACTGTTGACAATCATGTGAAAATAGAAAGTTCATAAAAATAGATCTAAGAAAACCACAAGCATGAACAGAAAGGAATAAAAGAACAAGAAAGCCAGATTAACAAAGGCCAGTTATTAAGAGTCATAATTAGACAGTGAAGAGGAAGAACTAAATGGCTAGAAGCAATTATATGATACCAATGAAACAAATTTTAATCTTTAAGTTATGGCAATTATCTAACAAAGAAATGTGAAGACAGTTACAGATCACTTAACACATTTTTCCTTAGCTAGCTGCAGCAGGGGTCTGCACACCTTTTCTGTCAAGGGCCAGACAGTGAACATTTTACCCTCCGCAGGCCATACAGTCTCTGGCAACTCAGCTCTGCTGACACAGTACCAGAGCCACAGACAAGACAGAGCCCAGTGAGGTGGCGGTGCGTTGTTTATGAACGCTGAACAGTGATTCATTTAATTTTCATGTGTCACAAAATCAATAGTATTCTTCTTGGTTTTCTACCATTTAAAAGTGTGAAAAACCATTCTTTGCTTGTGGACCTGTACAAAAACCAGGCTGCAGGCCCAGTCTGGCCCATGGACCAGTTTGCTGACCCCCGAACGAGAGGCATATCTACTTATGCTGCAGAAAAGCAAACATCACGGCAGCAGGGCCATGACAGAGATATTTTGGCCTTCACAGCACAGGTCCTTCAATAATTGTTTATCACATTAAAATGATGCAGAATTGAGCTGATACAAAAATAAAGTAATTAGGAAATCAGACTGAAACACTAGAAACAGAATCTTAGGTCTGTTTAGTTCCCTCACAAAGTTTGTGAGACCAAGTATTATCCAGGATCCTAAAATGATTTTTCCATTAACTAACTGATAACTTATGTGACATGCCAACAGTCTGACCATACCTGAGTTTTCTCATCTTTGAAAGAGTGCTAATATTTCCTCTCTCACTAATATAAGCACTGCTATAACAATAAATATAAAATACTATATATGAAGTGCTTTGGAAAGAAAAAAATATTACGTATTATTATCTAAACTGTCTGAAGAACTATCCTTTTGCCTCTGAAAACCAGGAATAAATCGAAGACTAAGGAACTCACTTAAAAACTGGTGAGGTCTATTAGTACCCTCAGAACTGATCATCTTACTTGCTTCCCATTTCCCCTCCCCAAAACTTCCCACATTCCAAACTCAAAAGATGGTTCATGGCTTGTAAGTATGTCCCCTTACTTTGTTATAATAAAGCTTGAGCAAACTGTATTATAAAATACAGAATTTAAACTACTAAACTATACCATTGAGAGGCGGCACAAATATAAAAACAAAAACAAAAAAACCCTGGAGAATTAAGACTTTAAAAACATAGTCACTAGAAATACAGATACAAGTTATTCTGCATGTAACAGGAGTATACTCTTCAACTTACCTGTGCTTTCTCCTGATATTTTATCAGCACTGTTATTTGTACCACTGAGGCGAACTATACTGGAGGAACTTTGATAACTGAGCTTAGGAAGACAATCAGCACTTCCCTTTGCACTCTCACACTCTGACACTGTAAAGATTAAAATGCAATTTGTTTAGATGTTATCTTTACATATCAATGGAGCCATAAAGAGAAGTGGCTTTTAGTTCTAAATAGTTCCACCTAAAAAAAAGTAATAAGAAAATATTGAACACCTCTGTATCTATTTGTCAGTCAGAAATAAGTGATGTCATTTGAGTCGTCAAGGTGTGTATCAAACAGCTAAATACTGGGTATGCATGAGGTCCACGCATACAATGCATACCTTTTATATTTATTCTTTAGTTATGAAACACTGCTTTTGATGGGGAGAGGTAAGTGGGAAAAATATAAATCATAGACCATTAATAAAAGCATTAAGTAAAAATATTATTAAGCCCCAGGAAAAAGCCACCGTTTGAAGAAATATGTATTTCTACTATAAGTACAGTATTTGCTTGGAGAGTGTTTTGCCACTGAGACCACATACTTCACATATAAGGTATTTGTATACTGGAATATTAGGTGGTGGAGAGGGCTTATAATGTGAGGAAAGAGGAGTTTCCATGGGAAAGTAAAAAACAAAATTAGTACTTTGACACTTAAAGTGACTTGAATTTTCTATTAATGTAATCTCACAATTTTATACTGTATCAACTTAGAACCTACAGGAACTAGAATCACTCCCTTTCTTATCTTTTTCTTCTTGAATGTCTTCAGTGGATGTATCCCCTCTTCTAACTTCATCCTTAGATAACGAATTATATCCAAGGTCAGACTGGCCACCTGGAAAAAGAAAAAACCCTATGTTGTTTATCATAAAATTCTTTAATAAGAGAAACTGGATTAGAAGATACACATTGGTATTTAGGTTTACTCATAGAAATTTTTCTGGATAACTTCCAATTGAAAGCATTATTTTGTTAGCTCTTCCCCATCTCTATTAACGTAAGAAAGGAATGATCACAAAATGATCACATTTATTTTTGTCTCCACATTGTAGTCAAAATAACTATGTGTGTTTACAGTACTATCTGGGCTCCAAAAGACACAGACAAACCAAACATTCTTTATTCAAGTCCATGACCTTTCTGGGTCTGAGATCCAACTAAGCAGTGAAGAAAAATCTGTAGGGAACTCTTAACAGAACACCCACACACAGATCACTGAAGCCAAATGTCTAAAAGATCTTACCAAAAAATGGGCCTGTTTAAATTTGTTGATACGTAATTAGTTTCTCTGAAAATTCCATTGAATAATTATTGAATTGCACATGAATGCAAATACATGGGAATGAGAAAAAAATATAGTGTTAAATTTATTAAGCAAATGTTGCATCAGTATAAGAAAACTTCTAATATACTGTTCTACTAAAGGGGTACTCTATAATTTTCAGCAAATTGTTTTCACTAGACTGGCATCAAAACATAAGGTTTTGAATCCTAGTTCTCGATCTTAGGAGACATGATTTTAAGTAAACCACTTAACCTTTCTCTTTGAATCTCAAGTTCCCAGATGTATAATATAAAAGGCTGTTATATGAGAGACTACACATAAAATGATTTTATAAACTTGCAAAGAACTACTTAAAGAAACTGTATTATCATTAGGTGTTTACCTTAATAATTTTATAATTTTGAGTTTGTATTTTTTTCTAATCAAAGTTTCAGCTCTATTTCCAAAGAAACAAAAAATTAAAAAATGTAAAGATAATCTTGATAAAATTCAAGGTTTTATTAGGTTCTTCACTGCAGATGTCCTTTTTAAAGGCCATTAGTTAAGACAGATTTTTTCATTTTTAAGACATAATGCCTGAGGATGACTACTACAACTCTGATTAAATTCACAACTGCATGAACAAGAAACAAAACCAGCCAAGGAAGAACTATGAAAATGACATTTCAATGTACACAGCTTATATTTATTACTCTCAAAAGTACACGTAAAAAGAGAGAGATCAAAATAATGTTAAAATTTGCAGAGCCATAAGTCTTCCTATTTTATTATTAATGCTTGGATTTTTAAGCTTAAAGTTTCTGCTCATTATATGTAGCTTTTATACTATATTCAAAAATCATGTCTAATTTTTATAATGTACAAATGAAAAGGGCAGAATTATTCAAATAATTTATTTTTACTGTGTGTCAGTTTTCATAATACTTACAGAAAGCTTATATACAAATCTTTTAATGAAAGTAATGCTATCTTCAGTGCTAGGATGCTGTAAGTTTTAAATATGTTTAAATTTTTTATTGTGATTTTTAATGTGTTAAAACTCATAAGAAGTTGCAAAAATAATACAGTAGGAAGAGTTCCTCTGTACCCTTTATCTAGTTTCTCCCAATGATAATATCTTGCATGAAACATGGAACACTGTTAAATCTTGGAAACTGATGCTGATATGGTACTATTAACTCAGATTAGGGATCTAAGTTTCTTTCTTTCAAACCCTAATAACATAAAAAAACCTCTCATACCATGCTCCTAATACAAAGAACTTATCCTAAGAAAGTGATATGCTAAAGACACCTCTGTGCTTTTCAGAGTTAATTGGATTATCATGGACTAAAAACTCGAATAAACTCTCTTAACCTTTCATTTTGACTCAAGTAGAGAATGCATAAAATTGCACAGTTATTAAATATATTATCAAATGCCTACCATATAAAATTTAAAAAGACAAATATACCACTGAAAATTAAAATCTAAAAAAGACAGGTTAGCAAACTTAGTCCTTAACATGTATTGCAATAAATGTACACACAAGCACACACAGACCTGTGCTAGATCTGTCATCAGAAGCGTACACTTTGATTACACCCGCATTGAATGGTGCCTGCTCCACAGCGTGCGTCCCGTGACCGCTATCCATGCTGCCATGACTAACAGCGTCCAGGTCACTGCCATCTGCTTAAGAACACAATTTGACAGCATTTTACTACTCGGGGAGATAACCAAAAATACATATTAGTTTGCTGTTCAAGCTAATAATCTACTAATACTGATCATGAAGACTGTCACATAATTAGCAAGATACAACTATAACAAAGGAGCCTATCATGAATTATTAATGAACACTAAAACAAGACCACCGAAGGTTGATAATAGTTACAAGAAAAAAAGTAAAATTTGGTGCTTTTCAAATGGGAAGAATAATATTAGAATTTGCTTAATGACAATGAAAACTAGAAAACATTCAATATTTTGAAACATTTAAAATTTCCAAATAGTGTAGATTATAACTAGTCAATTAATTTTAAAGAAAAAGTACAACATATACATCCCTTAAAAACCTGTAATTACCTGAGAGAGCTGTTTGTGATAAATTTGCATGCTTCTTTAAAGCTCTTTTGAACTGTGCTACTCCTAAAACAACATTTCTCACTTTTGTCCAAAGAAAACAGCCACTACGACTCCTTGAAGGCCAAGTACTTTCCAAAACAGCCTATTCATTCAACAAAATAAAATAATTAGTGAAATAATTCTTATAAATGAACACTCATTAGCTTTAGAGTTAATCTAAAGAATAAACACACTGTACAACCCAAAATAGAACAAAAAATATTATTTTCAATTTACAAAATGTATTTTAGATACTCTAAAATAAATACTACAAAACCCCTGCATCATTTATTTCTGCCATTAAACTAAGGTTGTAAAATGACAAAAGTTATATTTAAGTCAAAGTAATTACCTTGTTATAATAGCCATAAGTAATGGCATTTGGGTCAATACCAGCTTTCTGCATTTCAAAAAGCACTCGAACTGCAAGCACTGGCTGATCATACTGACCACAGAGCTGCATAAGAATGCGGTAGCACACCTGCAACACAGAAATTTTGAGAGTGTACAGAAGCAAAATCTCTGTATACATAAATCTTGAATAAAATAATAAGGATAACTGTTACCTCATCAGGTGGATCCATCTTCTTTGACTGCATTTTTTTAAGTACATCATACGCTGTTTTCAGAGCCCTGACTTTTGAATGACATACTCTCACGTATGCTGGGAGACAAATAAACCAGAGTCCATAACAGTGACGCAGCAGACACCGAGACCACATCTGAGGGATGGAAGAGTATCTCTTGGCAATTTTATGGGCTGATTTAATCTCCTGGAAAAAAATGCAAGGATCTTATTAATAAATTTACAAACTTAAAATGTCCTTATTTACCTGAAGGCTGAATAAGTGTAAGTCACATGCTTTTAGAATGTTTCCCTAACACCTGTCTACAATTAAAAAATATTCAAGTCTCTGCTTTAATCTGTATTATACAATATGTAAAATAAATTTCGAGGACAAGAGAACTGGTTAATTTTTTGAAGTCAGATTATTCTACATTTTCTTCACAACGCTTCAGGGAGCATTATGTGGGGTAGCAAAATATGGGAGGAAGAGTGTCATATTTATTTTTGTTCCAATGCGTGATTACATGAAGAATACAAAATCATCAAAGCACCTGTTTTGTTCTTCTGAACATGGGAGAAGGGCTACTAGGACTACTTGATTTTGAAGGCAATTTGCTCTTTCGTGTTTGTAGAAATCCTTCAGGTCTCTCAAATAAACTGTTCCTAAGAACTGGAAATCCATTATAGCTGTTTTTGAAAAGAAAAGAAAAACTCAAGCACATATATATGATCATACTGGTTACAAGCTAAACAAATTATGACCAATAACTTCTTAACTTATTTTAACTTCTAAACTCATTTTAACTTATTTTAACAGTCTTCCTCCATCAGGGTGTGATATATAATCAACAAATATTCATACTAATGATGCTTTTCTTATAATAATAGTTAAAAATGTAATAGCCAAATACATATTCAAGGATATATTTTGGAGAGAAAAAAGTGAAACACATTTAAATTTTGCTAAACTTGACATCAAACTCCAAAGTAACTCAAACAAATTTTACAAGTGAGTATTCATGCAGATAAATAGCAAACACATGAGATAATATGAGAACAGGTAAAAGGCCCACCAAATCAATACTCTTTCAGAGAGGAGAGTTAATATCATTGCTTGGATTAACATATTACTATAGAACTTTCCTCTTAAAAACTGCAAATAATATAAGTCAACCAGGACAAGCTCTCACATTATTATGAAAGGATTTATCAGGTTCACTGAAGAAGTTGGAGAATAGGAAGAAAAGATTAGACTGGGTGACTGTGAGGAGGTAGACCTAATTTGCGTGCTAGCGTAGGTGTCTGGGCATTTAAAAGGAAGCAGCAGGGACTTCCCTGGGTCCAGTGACTGGGACTCCATGTTCTCAACGCAGTGGGCCCAGATTTGACCCTTGACTGGGGAACAAGGTCCCACGTGCTGCAACTAAAGATACTACGTGCTACAGCTGGGGCCCAGCACAAACAAATAAATATTAAAAAATGGAAAAAAGGTAGCAGCAGCTGGCTAAAAGAAATGCTAAAAACAATAGAAGAAGCCTCTGAGGAGCAAACGTATCCTACTTTAGATTATTCTTAAAGGCAAATAAATAGTCTTAATTACCTAAGAAGAAAACTAACTATAATAAAAGATAAGCTGTATCTATTATATGTTATTATAAATTTATAATAAATTTATTACTAACCCAATAGAACAAGAAGTTATTAGTAATGACTGAATATTAAGCAGGAATAAAATAGCAAAGAAGTTCAGGAAAATCATGTCCCTTAAAAAAGATCATTGTATGTATATGGTGTGATAATAAGACACATTTTATGGAAACTTACTGTCTTATCATTTTATACAGACTATGTAAGTGTATATATGAATTACTACCTCTTACTAACAGGATCCACCATGCCCATTAAAGACATTTATTTCCAATGATGGGTATGATTACACCAAAATCATATTAGTAGTCTCAAGGGAAAAAAATGACAGACTGTTTTAAAAAATGAGAACTTTTAAAGATAAGTAGTATTCTTTTTAAAGGACTAAATCTAAAGGTAAATTTTAAATTAAATAATTAAAACCAAACCACAAAAAGAAAAAGAAAAACAAAACTATATTAATGATATACCAAAAGATGTCTCTTAGAAATATAATGTATGAAACAGAAAAAAGAAATGAGATCTTGTTCAGAAAGAAAAAGAAAAGAGAAAAGGCAGACTTTTAAAAAATTATATGAGCAACATCAGCAATAGATAAAAATGAAGGGTAGGAATCAGGTAGCTTATGAATTAATCAATATTCAAAACATCAGTTACACCACTTGTGAAAGGAAGAATTTAATCCAAGTGATAAATGAGGATGTCCTGAAAACTTTCTTTTCAATGAAAATAGCAAACTATGATCTAATTATAGGTATAAAATGGTTTTAGAATCTTTAAAATAATAAATTATTATGGAAAATTTTAAAAATCATTTAAAATCTGAATGGAACTACCATTTTAATGGTATATTAGAAAGTATCTCTAGTTATAAGAAATGTTATATATATCTGTGTGTGTGTGTATTAAATACACATCTAGATGGATAGATAGACTGTGATAAATCCACCTCTATCATAACCCTATCACTGTGTTCAGAGCTTTTCTCTTTCCCACTAGACTTGAAGGCAAGAACAATATATCATTCAAGTCTATATACCAAGCACTGAGCAGTGTCTGAACAAACTTCCTAAATTAACAACGACTAATTCCAACAGTTTTGAATTTCCTTGACTTTAAAACTCATGGAAAAACTAAAAGCCTGAAAAAAATTAAATCATACAAATCAAAGTCACAAATATCAACTCTAAATTAGATCAATATTTTTTTAAAAATTGAAGTATAGCTGATAATCCTTTTGTAAACCAAGGTTACATTAATCAGTATGTGTTGGGGGAGGGGATGAAAGTGAGTAAACCAATCTTAGAAACAAAAATCAAAATTCTGTAATAAATGTGCTGCATTTTGGTGGGTCCTAACTTAAAATTTATGAGAGCATATACTTATGCAGATATAGAGAGCTTCCTAAGTCTATATCATGCAAAATTATATATTTTTTATTTTTATACCTCAAAACTTAGTAATGGATGTGGGATAAGCTTGCTTACCACCTAAAAATTAGGGATCTGTAAAGTTTGGATTTTTGAAAATACCACAGTCCTTAGAAAGCTACGTCACAGATGATGGATTGCTTCTCTCTTTCAATCTCAAACATTCTGCCTCTTGAATACCTGTACTGTAAAGGGGGTTCTTCACCATTGGGTAGATGGGGGATCTCAGGAGGTGTTACAAAAACAGTATGTTCACTTTTGAAAGATTCATCCAATTCTATAAGTCGCACTTCACCACTCTTGTCCATATCCACCTGAAGGAGTTAAAAATATTCGTATTAAAAAGATACATTGACTAGACAAGTGTTCATCTATAAGGGAATGGTTAAACAAACCATTTACACAACTAGATACTAAGAAGCTATTTAAAAAAAGAATGAGCAAGTTCTCTATGTATTACTGTAGAAAGTTCTCTGAGACAATTAAGTGAAAATAACAACATATTTAGTTTTCGCTTGTACTCACATAAAGAAATACTCAAAAATACTTTTTTAAGAAAGTAATTATATGGCTAAGAGGAGATGAAAGGAATGTACTAGAATGGAATAGGATCCAGATTTCCCAATATATTACTTTTTAATGTTGTTTTGCATTTTGAACAGTGAAAATTTACTCAAGAAATACAACCTTAAAATGTTATTATATTAACAAATAATGCTATTTAAATGTGCATGCATGCGTGCGTGTGTGTGTATGTTGATAATACTTGGTCTGTCTTTGATTTCGACTAAGTAAAATAAACTTCCCTAGGTTCTTCCAGGATATGTAGAAGCACATTTGTGTTAAGTTCTAGTCACATCAATAGTTAAAGCATTTTAGTTGTCTGTTACCTCTAGATACTCTATGGTATGGTAATATTCATAAAAATAAAAACTTCATAGATTCTAAACTTCCCAAAAGGAACTCATAAATAGCACAACATTCACATTAATTTACACCAGATGTCATACATATGACAAAATAGAATGCACAGAACTTTATCAGGTTAGACAGAATTAATGTCACATAATAGGAATAAATGCAGAGTAAGCCTTATTAACAAGTTAAATCTTAAGGTAAGGATTTACAGAAGAGCAGACCAAAACAGGACAGAAACAGCTTTACCATTTTCCTACCCTTAAAAAGAGGTGATACATTCAGAGTCTTCTTATGTAAATTGTTGATTATAATTTCACAGCATTACCTGCTGTAATCTCTAGCATTAAAGAGTGTTTTTAATGGTATATCCATATAGTGAGCTAGACAATAATTAAAGGCATGTTTCAGAATTATAATTAATGACAGGAGGAAATGTTCACAAAATAATAAAAGAAAACTACTAAATAATATTTATGTGTGTCTATATACACCTAACACACCCACATGGAGTATGATTCTAACTTGTTAAAGAGTGTGCCTATATCTGTTATATAGATATATTTCTGTGTGTGCACTCTCCCACACACACACACAGATGCACACAGTTATCAAAATGCTACCTCTGTGTGGTGTTATTACTGGCAATAATTTTCTTCTTTATATTATTTGTTTTCCAATTAAAATAATGAATATGTATTATTTTTACTTGCTTTATAAAAATTACAAAAGTGACAAACATTCAGAATAAAAATGTAAACAAGGAAGACCATACTACTTTTAGGATAAGCACTTATTTCAATTCTCTCAAAGGATTTAAAGATCAATCAGTATATTATAAAAGAAGGTACCTTTCTTTTTAGCCTTTCAAGACTTTTATACAGTGAAACAAGCAATGATATAATAAATATAGTAAATTGGATAATCACAAACCCAGCTAGTACTCAAAATTGATACAATCTTTTTTAGAAAGCAAGATATGTTTAAACACATCCACCTTATCCTTTTTTTCCCCTTGGGCTGTGCTGAATTGTGCCATGGATCAAACCTGTACCCTCTGCAGTAGGAGTATGGACTCAACCACTGGACTGCCAGGGAATTCCCTTTCTCCTTATTCTAAGAAAAAAACCTAGTATTAGAAAAAGTTATCAGTATTAAAGTTTTTTTTTTTTTTTTTTTGGCAGGACTGCAATAAGCTTCCCTGGTAGCTCAGATGGTAAATAATCCACCTGCAATGCAGGAGACCTGGATTTGATCCCTGGGTCAGGAAGATCCCCTGGAAAGGGAATGGCAACCCACTCCAGTATTCTTGCCTGGAGAATTCCATGAGGTTGCAAAGAGGGGGACATGACTGAGCAACTAACACTTTCAGTTCTTGGGCTTCCCAGGTGATGCTAGTGGTAAAGAACCTGCCTGCCAATGCAGGAGACGTAAGAGACATGGGTTTGATCCCTGGGTTGGGAAGATCCCCTGGAGGAGGACATGACAACCCACTCCAGTATCCTTGCCTGGAGAATCCCACAGGCAAAGGAGCCTGGAAGGCTATATATAGTCCATGGGGTCGCAATCAGACACGACTGACCACACATACGTACAAAGTAACAATAAACTGGAAGTCAAAGTAAGTAAATAAAGTATGATACACAGATGATATATACAGTCATTAAAAATGAAAGAGTATGGGGAAGGAAATGGCAACCTACTCCAATAGTTTTGCCTGGGAAATCCCAGGGACAGAGGAGCCTGGCGGGCTACAGTCCACGGGGTCACAAAGAGTCAGACACGACTAGGGGAAGGAAACAGCTCCAGGAAAGCTGAGGTGCCTGCCCGAGGCCCCAGAGCTTTTGAGAGCAGAGCCAGAACTGCGGCTGAGGACTCCCAGGTCCCAGGGCTCTTGATCCTGGCCTCTCTCACCAGATACGCGTGTGGAACACTAGAATCTAAAATATGCCTGAGGGTTCCCTGGTGGCTCAGTGGTAAAGAACCCACCTGCCAACGCAGGAGATGTGAGCTCCCTCCCTGGTTCGGGAAGACCCCACATGCCTAGCAGCAGCTAAGCCCATGTGCCACAACTACTGAGCCTGGGCTCTAGAGCCGAGGAGCCGCGACTCCTGAGCCCACATGCTGCAGCTACTAGAGCCCGCACACCTTAGAATCTGTGCTCTGCAACAAGGGGAGCCACCACAATGAGAAGCCCGCTTCACAGCTAGAGAGCAGACTCTGCTCGCTGCAACTAGAGAAAAGCCCAGGTAGCAATAAAGACCCTGCACAGCCTTAAATAAAAAAATCATTAAAAGAAAAAAAATGAAAAGAGTAAAAGGTTACGCAGGCTTCTGGTTGGACGAGACAAACTAAACACAACCATTTACCTTCAATCCTTCCTGAAATCTCACCAAAACAAGCATAAGGATATTAAAAAACAATGAAGGCAAAATGAACTGGAGAGAAGTCAACAGCAGAGCTGAGTTCAAAACATTTTAGAAGCCGCACAGTACCTTGATGAGACCTATGAAAGCTAAAAACCACATGTCTGGCACTGGGGAGGGGATAGAGAAGAAAAACCAAAAAGTCAACCCATTTTGCTCTACAGTGCACCAGAAAGGTCAGGAATGAAGAGCATGATGCCCCTGAAGACAGGAGGGCAAGTGGGGTTGAATCAGGAGAATTAGTTAAATGCCTGCATTTGAGAACTCCTAGACCCTTGCCCAACCCAGTACAGTTAGGCCATGACCTCTCCCCAACAGCAGAAAACTGGGTTGGGTCTCTCTGAGTCAATCAGAGAAACCTTACATTTGAAGATGCCAGGCAGAGCTGGGGAAGATGAAGGAGATTAATACCATAAAACAGGTGAAATGAGTAAAACTTTACATGTCACAATAAGTGGAAAATCTTAGCTACCTTCCCCACTCAGCTCTGAGAATACTTGTGGTCAGGCTTATGCATTCCAGGCTAAAGACTGGAGATATCTCTTGGGGAAACTACGTAGCCTAAAAGAATTACAGACACTGATCAAACAGGGACTCTAATGAAATAGTTGACTTCCTTTATGATCATCAATCTCATACCTAAGGAAGCTCCAAGCCTCACCTTCTAGAAAGAGCTCCACTGAGTTCTCTGTGCCTCATGTGAAGTCGCTCAGTCATGTCTGACTCTTTGCGACCCCACGGACTGTAGCTGACCAGGCTCCTCTGTCCATGGGATTTTCCAGGCAAGAGTACTGGAGTGGGTTGCCATGTGCCTCATACTTGGCAACAAATACCAACTAAAGATCACACACACAAAACCAAAAACTTGAAAAAGAATAAAATAAATATTAAAAGGTTCTCAGAAGGAGAGACAATGAAAGGGGAAAAACCCTTCAAAATAACTAAAATGAATAAGCCTACATCCATGAAACAAGAAGATGCTATAACACATACACACATAAGAAAGGGGCATTCAGAGAATGAGAAGGAGCTTAGGGCAATTATAAATATGATAACAGAGGTTAAAAGTATACTATAAAGGCTAAAAGATAAAATTGAAGAAATCTGGAAAGTGGAGAGATGACAAAGCGACAGAAAATAAGATGAAAACAACCACCAAAAAAAAAAAAAGAAAAAATTAAGAGGATCAGGCCAGGAGGCCCAATACACAAACAATACATATTTTGGAAAAAGAGAACAGAGAAATTGGAGGAAAGTAAATCTAAAAAAGGATAAACACAGGACTTCCCTGGTAGTTCAGTGGTTAAGAATCCACTGTGCAATGCAGAGGACATGGGTTCGATCCCTGGTGGGGAACTAAGAGCCCACACGCCTCAGAGCAACTAAGCCTGTACACCACAACTAGACAGTCCATGTGCCACAACAAAAGATGTGGTGCAAGACAAGGAAGATCCCGCGTGCAGCAGCCAAGACCTGATGCAACCAAGTAAATAAATAACCTTAAAAAAATTATATAAAAAAGAAAAATATGAAAGAAAATACCCCAGAATTTGAAGGCCATGAGTTATAGATTAAAAGGGCCTATATATGTCCAACTCAGAGACGAAAATGAAGGCTGACACCAGGCATATCCTTGTGATTTCAGAACATCAGGGATCTTAAATGCTTCCAGAAAGAAAAAGAGATCAGGCACAAAAGATCAGAAATAAAGATAGTACCAGACTAGATGTTATTCTCAACAATAACATCTGAGGCCAGAAGACAATGTAGTTAATGACTTCAGTTTTACATTTGACCAGATTAGCAATCAAGTATTAAGGGAGAATAATAAAATCTGCAGACAGGCAGGGCATCAAAACATGTACCTCCCATGGAGTCTTTCTCACTAAACCACTGAAAGCTGTGATTCACCATAACAAGGAAATAAACCAAGAAGGAAGTTACTGAAGCTAGAAAGCTGGGGATCCCACTCT